CTGCACCCTGAGGGTCCTGCACCCAGCTGTGCCCCTGCACCCTGCAATGCTCCCAGGGGCACCCACCAAGGATCCCTGCACCCTGCAATGCTCCCAGCACCCCAAATCACCCCCAGCTCCAGGCAATGCCCCCACCAATGCTCCCTGCACTCAGCAGTGCCCCCTGCACCCCACAATACCCCCAGCCCCTGGCCCTGGCCCCTCCACAAAAAAGTGCCCCCCTGCTCACCAGGTGCTCCCCGGCCGTCTTGCGGATGCCGACCATGCGCACGGCATCGGGGGGCACCGGCTGGTTGCTGAAGGCTGCATCCAGGCCGGGGCTGGGCGGGGGGGTCTCGTAGCTCTTGGAGGCCACCGAGTCATGGGTCTCGAGCAGTGACTGCAAGGCCAAGGCACCTGCGTTGAGCACGCTCGTGCATGCTCGTGCATGCTCTGTCTCGCTCATGCATGCTCACGCATGGTCGTGCATGCTCTGTTCTGCTCGTGCATGCTCATGCATGGTTGTGCATGCTCTGTCCCGCTCGTGCATGGTCGTGCATGCTCTGTCCCGCTCATGCATGCTCACGCATGGTCGTGCATGCTCTGTCCTGCTCGTGCATGCTCATGCATGGTCGGGCATGCTCGTGCACACTCGTGTGCGTGCCCCATCCACAGCACCTGGAAGTGGGGCTCGCGCAGGATGCGGGCCAGCTCAGCCGCGGCGCTGTCCTGGCGCGCCAGGTGCCCGATGTCACGCAGGATCTCCTGCACCAGCTCCACGTTGTTGTCCCGCACGGCCTCCAGCTTCGTCTCCTCCAGCCGCTCGTGGGCCTGGGGGGGCGTGGGGTGTCAGGGACCCCCCCAGCATCAGCTCCTGCCCCCGCGCCAGCCTGTCCCCCATGGTGGGGGGCCCGGTATAGCCCAGTCTGCCATGGGGGAGGCCCCAGGATAGCCCAAAATGGACTGTGAGAGTCCCCAGCCCAGTCTTGCACAAGTGTATGAGCTCACCCTTCTCCACGTGAACACCTCGAATGCACCCGGTGCTTGTGCACACGCATGTGCACACACACCTGCATGCGCCCCCACCAGAATGCACCTTGTCACCACCCAGATCCCCCCCAGAGGAAGTGTGCACACACACAAGTGCACACGCAGGCACCTTCCATCTGCACTGCAGGCACGTGTGCACGTGCACACACCTGCGTGCACACACACTTGCACAAACATTCAGCATCGTGCACCTGGGTGCACACAAACATTTGCACTCACGCATGCACGCTTGCACACACTCCAGTGCACACCTGATTCCATGTGCATGCATCCATTTGCATGCACATGCATCCGGCGCACAAGCACACATCCCTGCACACACTCGTGTGCCATCCCAGGGTGGGGACAGCCACCCATGCCACTGTACCTTCGCCAAGGACCTTACTATTGGGCTCTCCATGATGCCGCGCAGGAAGATGAGGTCCAGGTCCGCGGCCACCGGCGAGTTGGGGAGGGCCATGAGGTTGTCCAGGACCTGCTGCATGGCTGGGGGGGGACGCAGGGGACATGGGGCGAAGGGCAAGGGTGGGACATGGGGCACAGGGCCATGGAGGACGGGGTGCAGAGCAGGAGAGAGCGGCCACAGGGGGGCAAGTTAGAAGCCACCGACAAAGCGGGGGGGCTGTGATGGCCACAGGGTGACCCCCCCCATCAGGATGTCCCCCCCCCCCGCACTCCTCATTCTGCAACCCTGGGTGATGGGTGCAGCCAGGACCCAGCTGGGTGTCTCCCACTCATGGCCCTGGACATGCACCCAAGGGGGCAATTAAACATTTGCAATTCACTCGGGCGGGGAGGGGAGCATTGCACAAAGAGGGGTGCAAAGCACTTTGCACAGAGGGGCAAAAAAATGCAAACAGGGGATTGCAGTTCAGCTGAGAGCTGGGCAGGGGGATGCAATTTAGGCGGAGGTTTGGGTTGCAATGCAACCAGGCAAGGAGGAGGTTGCAGTACAGCCAGGGGTTGCAATCCAACCACGGCAGAGTTTGCAACGCAACCGGCTGTTGCAATGCAGCAGGGGGGTTGCAAAGCAGCTGCGGGGCGCGATGCAACGCAGCCTGGAGACAGGGGGCAATGCAGAGAGCCCCCCCATCCCGGGGGAGCGGAGCTGCCACAGCATCACCCCACAGCCCCCCCTTCCCGCAGCTCTCATCTCACAGCCAGAGCG